GTCCAAAGTGTGTCCTATAGATAAATAAAATACGAAAACCTTGTCCGAAGTGTGTCCTATAGGTAAATAAAATATAAAAACATTGTCCGAAGTGTGTCCTATTGGTAAATAAAATATAAAAACCTTGCCTGCAATACTATAAAGTATAAAGTAGCATGTTCCAGAAAAAAAATACAAAAACATTGCCTGGAGTTACTGAACTTGAATCTGATCATGTGAGGGTTAAAGGTTAAGAACAGATCACATGAAAAAGGTCTGGCAGTCATTATAGAATAATGCTGAAATTAATACTTACATTTAGGCTTATCATACAATAATTGTATTGATAATTTATACCAGTCAATGAAATGGATAATCATGCTCAAGTTAAGATGGAGAGCAGATCATACAAGACTTGTGTTGATACTTAAAGCTCAAATTTCATACAAAACTCTGAGTAAACACTGTTCACCCAGATAAAATGAAATTTGTTTATTATTAATCCAGTGGAATCATATATCGTCATATTATGAATACTTTAATTGTGTTGATTAAGAAAAACTACTGAACAAACATAAATATTTTACCACGTTCACTGACTTTAAAGTAATTGTAAAAAATATCAACCAAAATATATGTTCTTGCCCCCCAGTGGCACAGCGGAATGTTTGCGGACTCACATGGCTAGAAACCGGGTTTCGATACTCGTGGTGTTTAGAGCACTGATAGCCCATTGTGTAGCTTTGTGCTTAACTTCAAACAATCAATATGTTGCTCAAGTATGTATCATGGTTTTTGACAGGCAAGCCTAAAGAATACTTCAAATACAAGATGCAGGAAACATTACACAAATTCAACATATATACTCTTTAAAAGTAGATTTTATAATGTTAATACTAATGACGAAATATATATTTTTTTTCACATGAAACATTTCAAGTTAATGCGAGTGTTTTAATTTAGATGGTTTAAATATCGCCACTATACCCTCTTTATGGCCATACTCACAATCACTCAGTCTAGATCTATTACCTATCTAACTAGTTCTGTCTTTTATAACATTTTATACACGTATTTATAGACTCACGGAGGCCTAGAACGTTCTACAAACTACAAGATGTTATGGTGTAGTAACACTCAATCAAAAACTTAGAAGTTTCTAGTGACATGACGCAATAATACAAGAAGTGCCAATTCACAACAACTAAACTATACCACGTATGATTCATACACAGTTACATAAACAAACCTGCAATATACCAAAAAATAACTGAATTTAACACTGTGTTATTTCTAAATATTGTATAATTCGTCTTGTTCTAAAGTAACTGAACCGGCCTGAGTGGACTTTGACGAAAAGAGACAATTAATTAAAGCTCTGAATATAACTGTGGTAATTAACTGTGCAACGAACATTAGTATATACGTTTTACTTGTTTTAACATAGTATTTTAAAACAAGTGGGGTGTGTGCTGTTTGTTTATTTTGAAATTTACCGCCAACAACTCACAGGCACCTACTGTAAAGAACCTGGCCCATCCGTACATAAAAAACTCACGGTGTCTAAAAACTATAAGTGACAATATTTTCAAGCATGGGTGTCCGCCGAGGGGGGTCAAGGGGTATTCATTCAGTGTGTGGGTATATATATATCCTTGATTTAGACTCCCATTGAGAAATTTCAGTGGACACTCATGGTTTCAAGTCAGTTTTTGTTTATGTTTAGAAAAACTGAAAATTACTTTTCTAGCCAGCACTTGTACGATATTATAGTCTAAAATATTTATTGATATTAGTTTGAATTCATTCTTTTTTGAAGTTATAATAATAAGACTTACCTTGCTCTTCATTTGGAATAATGCCAGTCCTTGTTATGTTTAGTTGAGGGGTCCCTAAAGCTTCTGTACTGTTGACTTCTATGGCTATTACATATGATAGCTGTTGAAATACATACACCTTACAAGTCATTAAAAATATTCAACAGGATACCACTGGAAGCTTTATAGTACATCAAAAATATTAAAATTGGTTTTAACTACAACTTTATTAACTTTTTCTCAAAATATTATGCATTCTCTGAAACTATAAAAACGAAAAGAAAAAAAATATTGTGAGAAATATAACACTGCAACATTGCAAACAATACATGTATATATACACACATACACATATATTCTATACTGCTAATAACATGTTTTAGCACATGCATCATAGTTTATCCAAGTATACAAAAAACAGTCAGACCTTAAAGTTAGCAATAAAGGACCTTTACACTCTAGATAATTATAAGATAACTATTATTTTAACCAACGTTTCGCCTTTGTGGCTTCTTTAGGGCTAGTATGCACGAAATTCTGCCAGACCTTAAATTTTCAGTCTTCTGTTTTGCAACAAACATGGTTAAAAGCATATGCACACTTTATTGAAGAGTTAAACTTGTTCAAGAATTTAGAATTGTTGTCAGCTTAGATAAACTTAATATGAGAGGCATATTGAATATTGCTATTGTAAGATTGGTAGTGGTATTATCTATGTTTATTGAAGTTATATATCTAAACACCTTATTATGGAAAACATCTTTTCTTTGAATTATAAGCTTGATAAATGATTTGAATAATAATTCTTGGTGCTATGCTAGTTTGAGCTTGCTTAATTTTGCCAAAATAATTTTAACTGAAACCGTTAAGGATCGAAATCGTACTGGTTATGTATTCCATGTTGTATTTTGAGGATTCCCGGCAATGTGAAAAATCCGGGCCCACAAAAACAGTATATTAGTGGATCTCATATACTCGGGTGTGTTTCTAGGCGGGTTTGATGGTGTAACCCAGTGTTTTCCAAACTTAAATAGCAGCGCCCTCTAAATCAGTAAAGTTACCGTTGCGCCCCCTTCGCATTAAAATAATTTTCGCAAGAGAACAGCAAAATCAATATTTTCTTTACTCGTTTTAAATAATTTCTTTAAACTCTTAAAATGTTTGTAAGGAGTGAGTAAGTATGAGAGTGAAAAAGAAAAAAAAAGCTTTGAGAGCAAAATGATAATTTTGGTAGGTTATCTTTGACTCCAACTCTTCTGTTTCTTCCATCGTTAATTTTGGGCTCTCCCGCCAGAAGGCTGTCCTCCCGTTATCATTATCATCAGAATTATTGCTATCTCCTGCCACTTCCTCTTCTGTATAATGTCCCTTGAAGTTTCTTCTGCTTTAGTAACTGTTGTTTATTTCTTCTTCTCAATATGGTGTATCTGTGTGCTTAAAACTGAAATTGGCGTTCACGACAGAACCAATCTTCTTCCTGTTCAAATTATTTGTTTACTTCTCATGCAAAATAATCATATTTACATATATATGATAGGCAGTCTTCTATGATATTCTCAGTTCCACTGAATTTTCATACAATAATAGGATAGTCCCTACAGAATGATTGGAGCTTTGACAGAAAATGTTTTGCAGGAGTAACTTTGAATTCTATATACTTTGATTGAGTTTTGCCAAAAATAATATATGTATATATAGCCTTTACTGGAGGTTTCACAACTCTCAATGAAGAAGTAGAATTCTCTGTGAATTTCTATGAATGACTATTCCAGTCTGAGAAAACATACACAATAAACAATAATATCATCCTTTTCTTGGGTACATGTGTTAGAAACATCACCTTTGGCCATTACTATAAAAAAGTAAGGGAAGTTGTATTTCTTCAAGGTATCACCTGACCCCATAGTGAAAATCATTGTTCTCTACTATCACGTTTGTATATTAGGTTGATTACATTATATTTAAACGATTTTGAATATGCAAATCAGCAAGTCACATGACAACCACAGTCACGATGGAATGGTATGTATCATAACTACACTGTGAATTTAGAATTTCCAAGATTGGAATATCCCTTTAACTTATTGGATTTGGATCAAGTTGGGGCACCATAACCTTCTAAAAAGAGACCATTAGCAAGCCATACCCCAGCCATGGTAAAGAAAGTACAGCATCATGTTGCATGTGAGAGAGAATTCACCAATATAAAGGGGAGTGGCAAATGCTATCCACATGCCCTAAGCAACAGTAGATAATATAATTAAGAAATATTTCCATCTGCAAATGAGGCCAACAGCGTATTGGTTCACCAAATGAGTCTTCCAGTCATACCATCTGTTCAACCGTTGCATATCCCAAACAGCTGGAGAATGATATAGATATTCACGCTATTTGTACAAAGTTATACTAATCAAGTTGGTTTTTGCTGCACCTATGAATTTCTGTGTGATTGGACTGTTAAATTAGGTGCTTAGAAACTGCCATCCTCATACACTATGATGAAGTCTTTTGAAATGAAAACTACAAGAATCACGATAGACATGGAATATAATGACATTGTGAAGTTCCAAAATTGGTTTATCATTATGTACTCAACCCTCTATAGTATGTTGTACTTTAGAAAAACCTTTCGCGTGAGATAGGATTTGTGATAAATTAGGTGAATGACAATAGATAATAAGGGTGAAAGAAACTTAATTGTGTCCTTAGTGAATGTTCCATGTTAAAACTACATATGCTAATATTCATGAAAAATGTTTGGTAAAGTATCTGTTAAAGAAGGGAGTAAAAAACATATAGTATACCTGAATACTACACCTTTACACTTTCGTTTTCCTTCAGGTTGTCCTGACTTTTCCTAATTTTAAAATTTAAGATTAAATTAAAAAGCTTGTGTATTTAATAAGAAATTCGTTTAAAACTGACTTGGCCCCTGCAAAACACACCACAACACAGGCGAGTACAATAAGGAATACAACATCAGTTCAAAATGGAACAGTGCTGTTACCTGCTGCCATTACAATGACAAAAGTTAACACAGCCATATTCCTTTCACTAATGTCTAGTAGGAAAGAAATGTGGACAAAACTTCAGACACTGATTCCTACACAGCTAATCAAAACAAACAAGCTACCATACAAGTTACAACCTTTGTTGTTACTACAACTGCAATTAGTTCCTTGATTGTTTTGCAGTATCTGCATTCAGGAGTCATCATCATACAACTAGCATACACAATTCCACAATCATGGACATCAGTGCCCAGCAGGAATTCACAGTCGGATTGTTGATAGGCCAACAATAGATCTCCAGCTAATCTGTGTTTTAGTGACAGAAATTCTTAGCCATATGTTTGAGACTGTCCATCTAAAATCACATCAGGCTTAGTGCTGATAATGGTGAGACAATCATGGAAAAATTGGCCATAAAACGTTGATAATATGACAGAAAATTAAAGAAACTGTGTACTTTCATTTACTCACAAATTAAAGCCACTCTCATAAAATAAAGCTGTGATCTTCAGAGGGTCAGTAGAAACTCCATCTCTGGTCATAATGTGATTGAGAAGTTCCACCTGAGTGTGAAATGGTACACACTTCCTTGGTTTCAATTACAAAATTGTCTTTCTTATTTGTTGAAATATCATTTTCAGGTTTTCAGCAACAGTCTCAAACATATGGCTAAACACCAGGACATCAGTAAAACAGACCAAGCATATTTTGCATTGCAGCCTCTTCAATGTAATCTTCTTCATATGTAAAAAGGGATGGAAACATTATACAAGTAAAATGGCATGATCTAAAACCGATATACGCAGTAAAAGGAGTCTTAAGTTTGCTCTCATAATCCAGGTCAATGTGCCAATATCTAAATGGCAGATTAATTATAAGTGTTGAACCACCAGACAAGTTCCAATGCATTCAAACATTCATTTGTCTGTGGAAGTAGAAAGGCATCAATATAAGTCACTGCATTACCCATCTGAAATCAACATAGATCATCTGCTGTATTTCATTGCTTGTTATGTTTAATTGAATGAGCATTGTCTGCAGGCATGTGATGGTGAGTTACATTTGTCTGACCCAGTTAGCCTCCTGGCTTCAAAAATACTCTGTAATACACAACTGTGCTTCTGTTAGTGTCTTGAACCCAAATCACTTACACAATCACCAAAGAGTAATCTCAAATATGTCATCATCTATGTATTTGTTCTCAGATACAATATGATAGAAACAACGTTAATGATACTAATAGTCTTAGTCTCATCCAATTTGCTTCCAATAGGAAACTGAGTAGTTGATTGGTCATTATGTAGAACTTTCACACGACTTCTTCACCTATTAGATTAATCAATTGTTCCAACTAATGTTGCCTAATTTCTAGACAGGAAACAGTACATGTCATGCATTGGCTTTACACCACAGTCCACAGTGCTTATGAACTAAACCTCATTCACAGTAAGCCATGGAAAACCATTTGCATACAGATAGGTACTGTGACTCTCTCCACAACAAACACTCATGCAGTCCATTGCTCTTTGGTCTGGACTGTCCAGAATCAACTGCCTTTTTCATAGAAATGCAGTTTCCTTGTTGCACAGATAAAACTGACAACTTCCACATTTAATTCATCCCTAGAGTATCAGTTGTAGAGATTACTACTTATGTGCCTAGCTGATAACACCTAAACGTAGTTGGAGACGTATCTCTACAGTCACGTCTAATTGAAGCTGGCTGGAACACTGGCTTCAGTTGGAGTACATGATAAACAGTGAGAATTTCGGCAGTGTTCTGGCAGGATCTGTATTAATCATGAACTTTATCTCTTGCCCCTATATCTTTACAAGCACATACCAAACGCCAAATAGCCCTGAGAGAACTGGGCTTATAACCAAATGTTTTGCACAAGCTCTTTCCTGCACTATTCCCAGTTGGTGGTCAGATCTGACTTGACATCTGTTAGAAGCAGAAAGAACTAAAACTTGAATAAAATAATATCCCCATAATTTTCAGAAGCCATTACAGGGTATGCTTGCCCATGTAAATAATGCACGTTGTCTATAGAAGCTGCCAAAATCTTGAAGGGATCCTTACTATGAACCTTGAACTCAGTCTGGTGAATAGCCCTGATTCCGCCCAGCAAAATTCAATGAAACGTGGCTACAGTTATATTCCTGTTTCAGTGTTTATCCTTGCTCAAGTGCTTCATAAAACCAAATGTAGGTTGGACCATCCAATTCTAAAGCAACTATTGCATCATTTGTTCCTGAGTACAGCCATCCCAAGCAATGACCTGTTTGAAATTCTTATGGAAGCAATCCAGGTGCTCTTTAGCTGTATCCTTTAATGTTAGATAGAGACTTGTTTAGCCCCTCTAGCATGGGCATATGAATGCAACATAAACTTTTCTCCCTCAGATTTCTGGCCTACATGAGGGTCAGTCATCCTAAATGTTGAGGGTACAGTGTAACAGGCGCAAACAGGGGCTCCTACATTCAGACAATCACATTAGCTCATTGTTTCTGGGTGCCAGAATGATGAGTTACTGAAGGCAGTCACCCATAAGCTGTGCACGATCTCCAGTCTCTCCATAAACTATGTTGATCCACAGCTCTCTACAGGCTAACCACTGGGACTCTGGGATCGTCGATCCACAGCTTTCTACAGGCTAACCATTGGGACACTGGGATCGTCGATCCACAGCTCTCTACAGGCTAACCACTGGGACTCTGGAATCGTCGATCCACAGCTCTCTACAGGCTAACCACTGGGACTCTGGAATCGTCGATCCACAGCTCTCTACAGGCTAACCACTGGGACTCTGGAATCGTCGATCCACAGCTCTCTACAGGCTAACCATTGGGACTCTGGAATCGTCGATCCACAGCTCTCTACAGGCTAACCACTGGGACTCTGGAATCGTCGATCCACAGCTCTCTATAGGCTAACCGTTGAGACTCTGGGATCGTCGATCCACAGCTCTCTACACACTAACCACTGGGCTTTCTTAATCGGAAGGCTATTCATAACAGACTTTTACGAAACATCAAATATTTTGTTTTAAAACGTCTGTTTTATAGCTTCTTTGATAAACAGACAGAAATATCAGCCATGTATAATACTTAAACTATCTGCAAGTATTGAATGCAAAACTGTCTGTTAAGGTAGAATTATACGTATATATATATATATATGTTCGAAATAATCAATAAATGAAATACTATAACATGTGCATATCGTCACTGTTGTTCCTCATGCTCCCGCCCTCTTACCATCGGCTAAGGTAGACAAGAAGAGAATAATAACATTTTCTGATGTTCACTGTTTAGGCTACTAATACAGGGCTACCACTACAGAACAACATTTATTCTAAAAAAGCGCCAAACTACGATACAAATATTTCCATTGGTTAAGCACCCAACCATAACTGGCCCACCGCTGTGTACATCCAATTAGATTTACTTGCGCATAATCAGTATCAATTAAACAAAGTAGCACATTAAAACTAACTTAAAAAATATTCGACATTTTTTCGTCTTTTAAGCGTATTGGGGAGGAAGGTAAAGTGTTAAGAATTATGTTATAAGAAAGAAAAATTCCAAACTATTTCGACTTACCTGGCTGTTACCGAGGCTCTGCCATGTAAAATGTAACTCGGAAATGTTGGCTTGAACAACGACTTCAAACTTGAGAGCATAGTCATTGACTTGTCCTTTCCGTACATAGTATAGTTCAGAATTTAGCCCTAAAAATATAATTAATAAATAATGTATTATGTATTATATTTAGCTTAATTACAACATAGTATTACATATGTTTAAATAGCTTGTTATTTTTCCAAGTATGCTCAACTCATCCTACTCTGTAAACTCACCATATATAAAATGCATTAATAACTCTGAAACATGTTTATTTTTACATAACTACTTCTGTTGTGTTTGTTTGTTTGTAATTAAACACAAAGCTACACAATGGGCTATCTGTACTCTGCCCACTATGGGTATCTAGTCCACAGACATACCGCTGTGCCACTATTCTATTTCTGTTGTGATGAAATAAAAAGAGAAAATGATGGGGTGCCATTAATGATTCTAGAGTAAAAGTACATTATGTATCTCTCATGTTTAAGTAAAATGCTTTACTTACAAGTATGATACATTTAAACACTGGTAAAACATCTTACAGCATTATTTCTTCAGTTTAGCATATGGCTAATATTCTACTAACTTCGTGTATACTATTTCACTATAGGATAATTATATGGGTAAAGTAGAGAAAACTGTAAAACTTTAAAAATACTATTCTGATTTTCACTTGGTGAGATGCACAACATACTTTAGATACAATACTACCAAAACAATTAGAAGGACCTGACAATAAAGTACAGTTTTACCAATACCAAGCCGCATATTGAATTCTCAGTTGGTGAGATGCACAACATACTTTAGATACAATACTACCAAAACAATTAGAAGGACCTAACAATAAAGTACAGTTTTACCAATACCAAGCCGCATACTGAATTTTCACTTTAGAAAAATCAAAGATCTTCTTCCACCATAAAAATCGCCCTCTCATAAACCAGCAGCTCATCTACCAAAAGGGCTTTATAACCAGCTTCTTGATCTGAATAATAGGATTGGTTATAACTTTTATTGCCCACTTAAAACTAAAAGTGCATAGTATCTTCAGTACCGACACGTCTGGAACCTTGGACCCTTCGATCTGTAGCTAAGCAACGTGAAGAAAGAAATGCTTTTACCTATTGTGAAAGTCTATGTTAAATTTTTTTTACGTTCAATATTTCTCTTTTGATGGCTTGAGTAACGTTTTACTGAAGGTAAATTAGTCTAAACTTTTTCATTACATCGCTCAAGACATTATCCAAAGATAGATAAAAGGGGGACGTCCAGGGGATTAGAACCTTTCCTTTTTCCAGAATAAAAAAACAAAAAGACAATAACAGAGACTTTGTAAAGCAGTTTGTGAAGCTCTAAAGTCAGCACTAATTATTCTATACCGTTAATGAAAATTGTAACAGAAAATCTGTTATTATTATTTTGAAAATAATAATGATATACATTTATTTTATCAAATAACATGTAACTAAAGAATAACACGTATTGTTACAACTAATGCAAAAGAGCATTAAACTTATATCCTGGACTAAGATACTGTTAGCTACCTATTTTAAAACGTTTGTTGGTGTAGCATGACTTGTTAAATACGACCCGTTTACACGAGGTGGATATTTAATAAATTCTATATAATCTATTTTAATATAGCTGTTATCACAGTTTATAATCTGAACATTGATATAAAATATATAGGATGTATTTCTGTGGTATATACTCAATATATTCATAATTTAAATTCCTTAGGAAATTTTTTTAAAGGATATTTTTTCTGTAGAAGAATACAAAAGAAAGTAATTAGTTTAAAACAACAGAACTGTTCGTTCTAACCAACTGAATACGCTGAATTACATTTATCTAGAGTTAAAATAATAATAACAATAAACACATTTGTATTTAACGTATATTTAAAACATTGATAAATGCTTAGATCATTATTCAAGACCATTTTACATGTATTATAAAGAGTATCTGGTCATATAAGGAGGAAATGACAAGTATCCTTTCTTTTCTGTTCTTTATATATTTTTTACAGAAACAACATGCTCCCTGTAATAGTTTTATTCAACTGTTAGGAATCGCTTGGAACAAGTTAATTGTAACTAACGTTATACGTGCAGCCAGGCGGTTGCGAAGTGGGAAAAATGACAATTATTTAGTATGCAGGTTGGAAGGTTGGAGATACTTATAATTTTTTTTATTCATGGAATATATACATTCGAAACTATTAAGTCTGTCTCTTAGCGTCGGAAATTTTTATTTATTGTTAACACAAAACGGCTCAAACTATTTCTTTACTCACTGAAGATGTATTTGTAATATATTGTAAAATAGTGATTCTAAATTATATGATTTTTATATTTATATCCTATGATCTTGTGTTGGATTTAGACAAATATTGTTATTTCCAGTGAAAACGAACACGCCAATAAACATTAACTTTGTAAGTTTCCGTTAACAAGTTAATAGCTAATTATAATAGTACAATGTGAGATTAGAATCGAGTTGTTAAAGCATATAACTACAACGGATGCCATCAAAACTCAATTTCAAAATCATAAGAATTCATCTAATCAAATTAGCTAAACATTCTGTGGATTTTAAAGAGCAGAGGTGTTTCAAACAAATTAACAAACTACGTAGTAGTTGTTCCGTCACTTGTAAGGCAACTTGCTGATTGACTGCCTCAGGCGATAGGGGGAGGGGAAGAGGTAAAGACAATAACGTTCATGAAGTGGCACTAGATGGCGCGGTGTTATGGGGAGGGATGACATAATAGTTCCACGAAGTAGCACAAGAGGGCGAGTTGCTAATGGAGGGATAGGACAACGAGGTCATCTATATCTGTGATGAACATGCAGATAGTTCGCGAGCGAACCACCAGAGGGTGATGTAGATCAACAGATATCAACGTTTCTGAACATGTGATTACGTCATCAACTTTAAAGTTTTCGTTTCAGTAACAATCAAAGCCTTAAAATTAATAAATTATGTAACTTGCATATTGTACCTTTTAGAATTATACTTATTTATCTTGCACACTCTTTAAAAGGACGGAATGATGCGGACAGTGTTACTAAGGTACTATAGGTGGATAGTGCTACTAAGACCAGTGTTACTGTAGTTCCATAGGACGTCATTGTGTGGTGTCTCAACTTATGTGTATAGTTCTGAGTTATATATTTAATTATATTACGTATATTTTATAAACATATGTAAAAGTTAATATCACTAATTCATTTCAATAACATAGGTCTTAAAAATAACTTTACAATTATGCTATTATGACACTGTTACATAAGTCATGTCTATATCACACATTGTTAAGAGTGAACAAGTTTATTGTTTAATCAACAGTATTTTACTCACATAGTGGGAATGTAATGAGACAGGAGTTGAACTAGTAGTACAGGTATAGGCTGTTGAGGTGTATGTGTCACTTTAAACTTATGAAATATAACATTTCTTATCAATTCATACTCTGCTGAGATGTGTTTTACTCTAACTTATGGGGTATAACAATTCTTCTCAATTCATATACTGCCGAGATGTGTGTTACTTTAACTTATGGGGTATAACATTTCTTCTCAATTCATAGACTGCTGAGATTTGAGTTACTTTAACTTATGGGGTATAACATTTCTTCTCAATTCATATACTGCTGAGATGTGTGTTACTTTAACTTATGGGGTATAACATTTCTTCTCAATGTTGGCCTTATCCTCTTATCAAATATCAAAAATTATATACATCAACAGTGTATACTGTTCACATATTATCACTAGATATTCAGGTATATTTAATGCACTTCTTCAAAATTTTTGCTCAACAAAGGTTTAAAAATTCAATGCTCTATTTATAAAATGGTGAATTTGTTATTAACTCCCAAGTTATCAACTTATTTATACACCATTCGCTATTAGTGATGTTCGCATGTTGCATGATATTGAGTAATTGTATATTTTGAACTGTTAAAAAACTCAGTGTAAGAACTCGTTGAAAATAAAATTTAAGCGAAATCATTAATTTTCTTAGAAAATACATAGAATATTCCAGCAGTAATTAGTGGATTAATTGCAATATTGAAAGCATTTTTGTTAACTTTTTTTTTTTTGTCCTGACAGGATCCCTGTAACCAACAGTGGTGAACACACAAGTAACTTGGTGTATAGATACTTTAGAAAAATATTTTTAAAATGTCAGTGGTGTTTGCATAATTCTAGACTTCAACCTTCAAATGCAAGACCTCGTAAGCACTGGGAATTTGCGAATTTCGTGGTTTTTACTTTAGCACAAAGCTGCACATTATTTATGCTGTATCACTGTTGTGACCGGACCCCTATTTTAGTGCTATAAGCGTTGAAATTTATTGCTGAACGATCTTTGCAAAATAAATGCTCAGGCAATATTGAAAAAATTATTAATTTTCGGTATGTAAATTTCAAATTAATTGATATGATTTGATTTTGCACAACAATAAATCGGTATTAAAATACTGAACCAAAAAACGCAAGATTAGGATTAAGAAATACATTGAACAAGTTAGAAAAAGCATAACCTTGTTAAATTCGAAAATTCTCGATGAGAATATTTCCATACTGGTTGTACTTGCGGAATCCCAATTGAATAGGTGAAAACTGAGATATATAATTTTTAAGCTTTGCTGAATTAACAGTTTTTAAGACCTAAGTTACACAAACAGTTTTTCTCGAGGAATAACATTAATAGTTTCTTAACTGATTTTCATCTATACGTTGTAAGAGAAAAACAATAAATTTAAACTTAAAAATTTCCTTTATCTTGTTTTGAACGGTTTCCTTTTTAGTCGCTATAGACAAGACAGATGATGCGGAATTAGTGTCATAATAACAATTAAACAGAAATACAATGTTTGAGATTTATCGAAAAGAAAATTATAATTTGTAAACTTATTTATAAATGTAACCTGAAGCACCTATAACGCAGTTGGGCTTCAGATTTTAAACATAGGTAGGATTATTTTAAAAATTCCCCCTCTTCCTCGGGGATGGGTCAGCAATAAATTATCGGACTTACGTGGCGAAAATCCGGGGCTCAGTTATCCGCGGTGGACAAAGCGCAGATAGCCCAT